CTCTATTATTGCCAAAAACTGATAATGTAGTGCCTGCCACTTTGCATTGGAAAATGTGAACGTTATTAGCCATCAATCACATTTAGCAAAGTTTAAAAAAAAAAAAAAAACCCAGCTCCCCTGAACACAAATATATTAGGACAGTCCTGGCCTTGTCCCTGTATATGACACAGCTCCATCCACTTTGTACCTAACCCATCCATTGTGGCCTGCTGGCCTTCCAGAAATGTTAAGAGCAACTTTGTCACCAAAAGGTTAATCACCAATGCAGTACGTTAACATTTTTAAAGAAAGGACAATCAAGTTTTCATATCTATTGATACGAAATTGAAAATATAGATGAGAAGAGGCTGTCACAGTGCTTTATAACTAAAGATGGAAGCTTTTGAACATAGGACTTTCGCAGCTAAAGAAGAAGCTCTGGCACTACAGGTAGTCCTCAATTTACGACCATTCATTTAACGACCATTTGAAGTATGACAGCACTGAAAAAAGTGACTTACAACCGGTCCTCGCACTCACAAACGTCGTAGCATCCCCACAGTCACGTGACCAGAATTTGGGCACTTGACAACCAGCATGTATTTACAACAGTTGCAGCATTCCAGGGTCACGTGATCACTATTTACAACCTTCCCAGGGTGCTTCTGATAAGCAAAGTCAATGGGGGAAGCCAGATTTGCTTAATGACTGCACGATTCACTTAACAACTGCGGCAAAAAAGGTCATAAAATCAGGCACAACTCACTTAACAACTGCATCACTTAGCAATGGAAGTTCCGGTCCTAATTGCGGTCATAAGTTGAGGACTACCTGTATATGATGTCTTCTCCCAGATGTATATATAAGTGAGACTAGATGCACATGGTTAGAGGTAGTATTTTTCCATTGCTGTAGTTAGAACTAAAATATGCACACTCAAAAGTTCATAAGATGTTTTTGATTCCTGCATTCTCTGACATATATGCAGTGTATATAAATACAAACAGTAAGAGACACAAACAGAGCAGAACACAAGGACAAGCATGAGTTCTCTGTTAAAATGGGCCTTTTATTTAGGAAGAACTAAGTAGACAAGCCGCAATTGTGTGTGATTAAACCCAAATAGCTTTTTTGAATTTGTAGAGCAAGCAGACAGAAGAGGAGCTTTAGAATGCAGAAGCAGTGAATGGATGGAGGAGAGATGTACAGACCTCTTCTCCTGCCCACCATAGCTATGTCCCAAACTGCAGTCTTTAGCAAACGGCCCCTATCACAGGCTTCCCAATCTGGAATGTTATGTTCTATTTTGGAGCATTATGAGTGGAAACCATTCTTCTGGGTGGGCAAATGGTGGATGAGAAGAAGGTCAACCGTTAGCACAGCTTCAGCCATTGGCTTTAAGTTAGAACTCTACATTACATCCGCAAACACAGTATCCCAAATAAATGCCAGCTAAATACTAACGTGTGGATAGGAAATGCCATTCTGGGGAAGAATGTTGGAAAGGACTCCTCTGAAACTTTTTTCCTCCTGACTGACATATGTATGAAATCCGGATATGAGGAGATGGAAGCAAATTAGTTCTAGAGGAGGGAGAAAATGTGAATCAAATTAGGAAGTCACCCCTCACTTGCCCCTTTTCAATGGAAAACACCCTTCTCCCTCAGCACTTTCACTATGTGCACAGTTTTGGGAACCTGTGTTTGCTGCACAACATTTATTTACTAAATTTCTTAGCCAATTTTCAACACTGTAGTCTTCTCAGATGTCTGTTTTAAATACATGTGAACAGAACTGGAAGTTGGCTGGGATTCCATTCCATTTCCTTTCAGGCAGAGTTTTCGGCTTCCTTTCAGGCAGACGTAACTTGAATGTTCCTGCATCCGTTTCTCCTTATTCAATTACTTTGGGCATCACATTGTGTCTGAACAGAGGTGCTAGACTCCACCATTCATGACTATGGTTCTTCCAATCTATTGGGTTGACTACATTTTGACTATGGTTTTATATCACAAGAGGTATGAGTGACTATTATCTATCTATAGGTAGGTCAGTAAGACAGATGCATGCCCACATGTGTATGTCTTTATGTATGTATTTAGCTGTTAGCTATTGTAGTCCCTATGAATGGAATCTTGGAATTGAAGTATTTCCTTTTGCAGACACTGGTAGAAAATAACCTGAAATTAATTTCAGGTTCCAAATATTGATGGTGCATTTTTTTTAATTTGCTGTTTTTGAAACTCACAAGAAGATTCTGCTCATCACCATGGAAGGTTTCTTGAAGTTTTATACCTAACTCAGGACTTGAGTAGTGATTGGATTTTTGTTTCTAAATTTCTTGTTATATTGGTGTCGGCATTTTAAGGAAGTGCTCACACTTTTTGGGCCACAAGCCAAAAAATACTAGCAAAACCTAACATTGGTTCAGATATAGTTGTGGTGGGTCAAGGGAATTTGCTGAAATGAATCAACTAAGTAAAATAGTAACATTGTTTTACTTGGTTCTGTTTGGGTTATCCTTTTAATAGCAGCTCTCTAATGATATCCTAGATGTTGTGTAAGTTTCTTCTATATATCCAAAGAGATTAGAAATTTATTTATTTACTCATTTATATGCTGCCTGACTCCCAGGGACTCCCAGAACTGAATGTGTATAAGGCCTATTAATTTTTGCAGAAGGACACTGCATTGTGTAAGGATTTTATTTATAAAAAACATGTGAAGCCATGTTTTAGGACTCCTTTATTAAGATTCAGTGTGCTTGGAAAAGCAAAGCTAGAAATAATTATGTACTTGTTTAGCCAAGTTCTAGTGTTTGTTTTCTATTTGCACTTTTAGTGAAAGTATCTAAAACTGAGTAAATCTGCTAAATGCCTGTTTGAACACAGCAAAATTAACAGTGAAATTAACAGCCATTGAACACAACACAATTAACACCATTATGGCCAAGATGTTTGGCTACCTGAGGTGAGGGGCAGCAAATGCTGCCAGAACTTTGGATAGTATCCAAAATCATCCTAGTTATTTTGGAAGTGAAGCAAAAAACCCACAAACGCTTCTCCCCATACCTGGCAGCAAAAACGTATTAATGACAAATTA